AGGTAAGATCGGTCGTCGTTCGAAACGGCTTCCAAGTTCGCGCAAACGGGTACTCCCTTCGCCATCTCTATGAACACCGCTTCCTTCGGCAGCTGCGCACCCTTCCATCTGGACGTGGGGCAAGGCCTCGAAATCTCCTTTACCATGACGGGGTGGTGCGGTCGATCTCTGCGCCACGTCGGTCGAACGAAGCCGTCTCTATCGACCACGGGGACGTGAAATAGCAAACGAAATTCGTTGTTGAGATGTGTATAAGAGACAGCACAAGAATAACCAGTTAACGTAAATGATTTCATGTTTTATTTTGTTTATACTTTCGACAAATTCAAAATCGGAGATTGCATTCGCACTGGGAGAATCCTTCCCATTCGGCGGTGCAGTATTCGCAGACGACCATCGACCTTTTCTCTTCTTCCTTGTTACATAAATCGAGCCATTCCTCTACGTCCAGTTGCCGGGTTTCCAAGGGAAACGAGCGGCATTCGGGCGTCCACGCAGGATCTTCTGGGTCTTCGATCTGTTCTACGTAATCATCGATCGTTTCGATCAAGTCGTCGACCCGACGTAGCATTTCCGAATGCGAAGTGCCGTCGACGCTCCCGTACGACGATTCCAGGAAAGACGATTGAGAAAGAGCATCGTCGAGGCGACGCAGCATTTCCGAATGAGAATTGCCGTCGAAACTCTCGTACGAAGATTCAGGGAAGGACAGTTCTTCCTCTTTCTTCTCATAGTTTCAATCTCTCTCTCCGATCGGCGACCGTCCGTCGGCTGCTTCAAAGAACGACGTTGCAGATTCGGCGGACGACGCGCTACTGGGTGGGGTTGTAAAGCAATCGCAGGCGTTCAACGGCCAGAGGCATTCCGGACAGAGTTGAGAAGGACTGGCGCACATAGAGCATAGTTCTCCCTTCGGCATGGGCGAGTTCCACTGACACCTGTTGCAGGCAGCGTACGATGGTTCGGCCATGTCGGACCTCAGTCTGATGCGGTACGTCGCGTCCCTCGTGCACATATATACATGTGTTGGGTGTTGCGAAGAGAACCGTCCGAAAACATGGAAGGTTGCCGACTGTGCGCGTTCGACGTGGACAAGGAACAGAGACAGTACTGCAGCTCGGACGAACGCTCGGACGAGTACCATCCGATGCTTAAGGGCGAGCGCCTCTTCGAATTCTACGGCGTCCGAGAGCAGCAACGGGTCGTCGAGAACATCTGCGAAACGCTGGCGTCGATGGAACCGACGATGGAGGACGTCACCACCGAAGAAGTGGAGCTTCAATCGATCGTCACGTCGTGCCCAGTTATCGGCGAGTGTGCACTTTCGAGGCAGGAGCTTTGAAAGTGCCATGGCTTCCAAGATCACCGGCGGCGAGGTTCCGTCCCAGCAAGACTTCAGAACTTACAATTGCCAGGAAATACAGAAGCTCATTAAAGAGTTAACTAAAGACAAGTCGTCGTAGAACAAATTTAAAAAATATTAAAGTAATACCATATAGTTTTTCATGTGTCTTTTATTTATTATTTCAATATTCAGTTAACATTAGTATACAAAACACTTTGGGGGGGAGGGGTGGGAAGGAACAACATTTAAAAAAAAAACAAAAATAGTTAATCTCGGGAATCTGTGTCGTCTAGCACCCATTCTCTTCCGGTCATCCGGCGATGCAGGTATGTCAACGAGTCAACGCAGCGTCTTTCCAACACATATCGGTTCCGCTCGTCGATTTTCACGAAATTTACGAGTTCGGCGTCGTCCGTGATCAAGTCGACGAGCACGTTGTTCTCGTCCATCGAGTCGTGGTAGAAACCGCGGTCTCGACAGCCGACGCAGGCTCGCACCACCTGCTCCAATACCTTCTTTGCGTTGTTTTTTCCACAGCACGAAGATTCCAGCATCTCGTTCAGAAGGCAGTGGGCAGTGGAACGTCGGTCGCGTCACGGCCAGAAGGTAAGATCGGTCGTCGTTCGAAACGGCTTCCAAGTTCGCGCAAACGGGTACTCCCTTCGCCATCTCTATGAACACCGCTTCCTTCGGCAGCTGCGCACCCTTCCATCTGGACGTGGGGCAAGGCCTCGAAATCTCCTTTACCATGACGGGGTGGTGCGGTCGATCTCTGCGCCACGTCGGTCGAACGAAGCCGTCTCTATCGACCACGGGGACGTGAAATAGCAAACGAAATTCGTTGTTGTGAATCCATCTGTACATCTCGTCGTCTAATGAACCCATTCCCCATTCGCGGTCAGTTTATTCGTCCACGGATGATCCGACACTTGTTCCAGCGACAGCCTCTTCCTCCAGTCGACCGCAAGCATTCAATCGAAGAGCAAAAGTAGTTCCGCGTCGTCGATTAACTGCAAGTACAGTCGATGGCCGCGATCTACTTCTTCGCCCGTGATCATTTCGAACAGCATGATTTCGAGCGACAGATCATCGCCGGAACGGCATACATGGATCGATTTTTCAGCATCTCCGGAGGAAGTTAATGATCGGTGGTTCCGAAAGCGCTTGTGATCGGTTCGTCGTCGACGAATTTGGCGAAACCGAAGTCCACCAGCTTGATCCTGTCCGTGTCCAGATCGACAATCACGTTCTCCATCTTCAGGTCTCCATGAACTACGTTTCGTTTCAAGCAACCGACGCAGGCGTCTACGATTTGCCGAAAGACGCATCTGCATCTCTCCTTCGGGATACTGCCGACATTCTCCAGAACTTGAAATAGGTTGGAGCTCCGAAGCGGCCGTTCCATCACGAGTAAATGGCAATCTCCGACCTGGTGAACGTCCACGAATCCGATGCACCCCTCGATCCCTGAGACCACCCGCAGGAAGCATGCCTTCGCCCGATTCGTTCGTCAGGTAAGACGCTGAGGAGTTTCTCACTACTTTCATAGCGACCGGCAGTCCGTCGGCTTTTCTGATCGATCGCCGAGTAAACGCTTCCGAAAGCACCGTCCATTAAGTGCCCCGAGAAGTCGTACAGACCCATAGTTATTTTCTTATTCGTTTTTCACCAATAAATGTAAGGTAACTTTATCTTTGCGTGACGTCACAAAAAGATTTTCCGTGTCTTTCGGGGGGCATTTTTGGGGGTAAGGCATTGTCCAATACGCTTAATATTGAGTTTCCGAGGTTTTCCAGTGAATTTCTAAACAATGATGGCTAGATTTTGGATTTCTAGAAACTGTTTCATATTCATTTTAAGTCCGATGGTCTGATCATTGCTAGCTTCATTCAAACTGGTATTTATACTGAGCATGCGCACACAACTATTAAGTAAAAATTACCAAAATGGAGCATTCATGTCATAACTGTAGCTACGTATAAAGTCTTAAAAATAAAGTATAATTAACAGAGGGTCAGAGGGGAATCCAGGGCATAATTATCTGCCCAGGTATGTGGCATGTGGGGCCCATGTAGAATGAACATAGGAATGGCTATGCATTTTCCCAGATATTTGGCACATGAGCACCATGTGGCGTACATTCATACAGCTATCTACCCAGTTACTTGGCATATGGGGCTATATAATTTGTAGAGTAAACACAGGCACAAATATTATTTCCTCTATATATTTGACACATTAGGCCCTATGGGAATTTGGCATATAGCAATTTGGCATATTGGACCCGCACATGAATTTTCCCAGATATTTGGCATATAAGTCACATGTAGATTAAATGTGGCCATTCCCAAAATTGGGCATGCCCATATGTAACCCATATATTTGGCATATGGGCTCCATTTAGATTAAATATGGGCCTCCCATATTTACTTGCCCAGGTAATTGACATATGGGTCCTATGTATATTATATGTGGGCATACCCATAAGTGTTTTCCCAGATATTTGGCACATGGGCCCAATGCGAAATTAATATGGGCATACCCATGTTCAACTACCCTCCGCAGGCACTTGGAGGCACTTTACACAAATACCTATAGCCCCCCCCCCCCTAACCAAAAATTCTGGATCCGACCCTGCCCAATATTCTAAATTAATTATAAGCTATTTAATGTGAAATTAAAATTTGTATTTAAAAAAGTACCTTTTGTCGTCTTTGTTGCCGATCGGCGCACCTTGGTTTTCGATCTTATCTCCACCTTCTGTCTCCACCTTGCCATCTATGTCTGCCCGGTCATCCATCTCCGTCGCGTCATCGTTTTCTTCCCGGTCGTTAATCTCCATCGCATCATTCTCCACTCTGCTATCATTCTCCATCAGGCCATCCATCTCTATTGCGTCACCATTCTCTACCTGGTCATCCATTTCCATCGCGTCATTATTCTCTACCCGACCATCATTCTCTGTCCTGATATTCCTCTCCATCGCGTCATCATTCTCTCCTCGGTCACCATTCTCCAAGCCATTATCCATTCTCATCACGTCATCATTCTCTATCCTGCTGTCCATCTGCAAAGCTTGTTGTCGGAGTTAAAAGAATAGTCTTCGGGGGACCATCTCTTTCCTCGAATGTCTACGTGGACTTTCGGCTTCTGTGTCCACCCTGATATAATTACAACAATGTAAAATGTATTGCATATTTTTAAAGATATAATTCCTCAGAAACCTATTAAAATATTATTAAATCAAATTAAAAAAGAAAAGATTTCATATTTGAGTAGCATGGAAATTCTTAATAGATTTCTTAAAAATTTATTTATTTATTCCCAGATTATAAAATATGCGTACCTTTCAGGAGAATTCAAATGAATCTGTCTTAATACTCGAGCCTCCCTTCCTCGAAGTGGAGCATGATCTCGGTGGCGAAAATTGTTTCTGTCCATTTTTGGTTTACCACGTGGTTGCCTGAAAGAGTAATAATAATGATGATAATAACAATAACAGTGATAATAATAATAATAATAATAATAATAATAATAATAATAATAATATTAGTAATAATAATTATACACTTATTATATGTGGTTAGAAATAGTAAAAATAGATTTAATTTTTTTCAAATATAATGCATTATAAGATTGTAAGTTTGTAATTATATAATTAGGGTATTGCCTAATTTAAAAAGTAAATAGTGACATGTACCTTTGGATATGTTTATAATGAATAAACTAAATTGAGAAGAGTTTTCAGTTACTATTGTTTTATGAAAAGTCTCAACAGAACGTTAACAATAGCCATTAATTAGAATAATAAAAGCAGACCGAGAGTCATTGACTTACACTATGTTATAGTTTAACTAGATCAGTTTTATTTGAAAACAGGTAGTTATTTACAGATAAAATATATAGATTCATTACAATTGCGTTGTAAATGCATTGTATGAAATAAAAGTTAAATAAGTTGAAACACAACGTATATAATTTACTTACCCTGCAAGCCAGTTGATAACTTTTGAGTTTGGACTCATGCTTTTTACTGTAGGTTCTTTATCGCTTGGGGTGTCCATTGGCTCATCATTGTCATTTTCATTGTTTCTGCCTAGTATTACACCCCTAAAATTTTTTTGAAAGTTTAAAATTAGCATAATATAATAATAATGACAGTGGTATCGACTAATAATAATATAGACAAAGCAACTTTATTAATAATTTAAAAACTAAAAAAAAAAATCTGTGTAGAAATAGTGTGCTAATTTTAAATAAAACTTTAATAAATTTTTATTTATTACGTTATAATAATTTGTTTAGCCTATTCTATTCGATAATAATCTATTCAATTTACATATTTGCAACAATGTCACTCATTATATCCGTAAAGTAACACAAAAAAAAAAAAACAATGTTGATAAAACAAAAAATAGATACTACTAAATAATAATAATAATAATAATCTAAATTTACTACTTAATAGGTATGAAACATAATAAATACAATATTCTACTTACTCTTCTAAAAGATTTCTAAAAAGGTATTGCGCTGTAACTTGCTTCATTTCGGCACAAGAATCACATTAGTGGCAGAATTATTAATAAACGTAGTAAAATATAAAGCAGATAATGCACTTTCTCAGAGTATTCTTCGAAATAAAGCAGTTACAAACAAGGCATTATCTGCTAAGGATTCCAAGCTAGTTAATTAGACATTCGTTAATACTAGCATCTGATTGGTTACTTACTATCTGTCTTGCGTGAAGTCAAGCGTTCAATGCATGTATGTAAGGTTTCGCACATATAATGCCTTTTCTCAGAGTATTTATAGTGAAATTTGCAGATAATGCCCAATTTTAAAATAAAATTTCATATTTCTAGACATTTTTTTGGAATTTTGATAAAATAGGGTGATAGATTAGACATTCAGGAGTCACATAAGCTAAAAATCTCAATTTTGAAAAAAATGTACTTAATGCCTTTTCTCAGAGCAGGGCAGAATAGATAAGAGACGTTAACGAGTTGTTCGAGGTATCGGCTGAGATTTGTGAAGTAGAATTCAGAAAACAACTATAGGTCTAATAATGAATTATTGTGATGTTAAACAGACAATGTTAGCTATCAAGAAGCGACGTTGTTTTTCATTGGGACCTTTGTCCCTTCAAGGCTAGGCCTATAGACCTATCCAAGAGAACATTTTTGAGTGTCGCCCTCTAGTGTCGGCGCCATTACTGGGGTGACATTTGCGAAGTTGGTGGGTACCGCGAAGTTTAGAGATGCAATGCGGAGTTTAGTTTTCAATGCAGTAGTTGCTGAGAACAACAGGGTTTTTTTCGACAGTAGCAGCTGCATAATGTCGTCAGTCTTCAACCTATATTTTATCACAATCCAAGATAAGTATATTTCGTGTATTTAAGACAATATTAATAACGATAGAGGAATTAGGGGCCTCGATAGATCGTATACTGTATATATTACGTTAGGCCTAGCTAGCCTGTAGGGAACACCGGGTCCCAGACTACTACGAGGCCTAGGTCGTCTAAAGTAGCTAGGTATCTAGCCTAGTAGGCTAGCTAATCGGATAACACTACTGTAACATTAACAAAGAAAGAGGGCCAACGACAGCGTAGCAGATAACAAATTTACACGGGCCTAGAGAGAATAGCATGACGCCAGAGAGGGCCTACCTACTTACCCTAGCCACTTGATTGATTGCATTTCTCACTGTACACCACCCTAAAAAAGTGGTACAAGAAGCTTGTGTATACCAGTGGTGGCCCTCTATTATCCCCTTTTGTATTCTCAAACTGTACTTTAAAATTTAACAATTTTTCTGAACCATTTGATGGAATAAATAGTTTTTGTATGAGGAAAATGACGATTATAATTACTGTACTATTTTATTAAGTAATAATTCTAAATGTTAAATTATGGTTTGTTTTATAGCTTTGTTCTACTTTATTTCATTGACAGAGCCCAGTCATCTATGGTGACCTCATCAGCATGGGATATGATAATGTAACTTAAATATCAAAAGCTTATTTTGCCTGTTTGACTATGTGCTGTGAATATGTTAATTCTAATAACCAAACATTTTAACTCAATCTCACAAATTTTAAAAAATTATTTTCTGTTTAAAAGTTGCTCTTTGTTTCCTAGTTACTGTAGATAGTTGATGCAGTTTGTTAAATGAAAGAACACCCAGAAACTTCTACTGATATCAACCATGTTTATATTTGGAACAGAATATTGAACTGTAAACCACAAAGATGCCTGTGTTAAGTGTTATGATCCTACTGTCACTAATCATACTTAGGATTGTGTTTATACAGGGCCGGCGGAACGTTTTTCAAAGTGGGGGGGCCCCACTTATAAGCAGGCGCGTAACAGGGGTCTTGGGTCGAGGGGGGGGGGGCAAAGGTAATAATTTTCCCGGTTAGTAATTTATGACTTGGTGTGTTACCCCCCCCCCCCCAATATAGAAAACAATACGACATAGGGCTTATTTTTTTATTAATATAGGCCACACACATGTGTTTCAAACTAAATATAAGCATCATGGTTGTATTTATTACAAACACATTCTTTCACCATCTGTACACATTGATGCCCTTCTTTTAGGTTAAAATGATCTATCTTAAATTTGTCTTTCTTGAGTTTGGGACTATTATGTGTTTAAATAACTTAAAAGGATAAAACTAAAAAAAGCCCTAAAAAATGCGCGCCA